TCCTTGGCCAAGCGTCTTTACAAGCCTTAGCAGGAATGGAGAGTAAGACAAGGCTTAAGTGCAACTCCTTGGCCAAGCGTCTTTTCAAGCCTTTTCAAGCCATTTCTAACCCCAACCCGCAAAGCTGTACATGATGTGAAAGAAAACGTGATTCCTCAGACCAAGCCACCTTCTTACTGCTCAAGGGTGCAACGTTTAATACACATCATTTAATACTTGACGTAAAACACAGTTACAAAACATTTAACTCAAAGGAGCTACTCCACTCACCAGCGGTAGCAGTCAGGAATTCCAGGAAATATCCCTTTTACCATTAAATACATTTCTAGTATGTTAAGAGAGATAATACACTTTAGTCGTTAGCTTACATTGTGTGAATGGCTGAGCGGGGGGCCTAACCATTCTATCGGACTGTCTTTACAAGCCTTAGCAGGAATGGAGCGTAAGACACGGCTTAAGTGCAACTCTTCGGGCCAAGCCGTCTTTACAAGGCTTACCAGGAATGGAGCGTAAGACAAGGCTTAAGTGCAACTCCTTGACGACAAACGTCTTTAGAAGGCTTACCAGGAATGGAGCGTAAGACAAGGCTTAAGTGCAACTCCTTGGCCAAGCGTCTTTTCAAGCATTTTCAAGCCATTTCTAACCCCAACCCTAAGCTGTACATGATGTGAAAGAAAACGTGATTCCTCAGACCAAGCCACCTTAAGTGCTTAAGTGCAACTCCTTGGCCAAGCGTCTTTACAAGCCTTACCAGGAATGGAGCGTAAGACAAGGATTAAGTGCAACTCCTTGCGCCAAGCGTCTTTTCAAGCCTTACCAGGAATTGAGCGTAAGAGCAAGGATTAAGTGCAACTCCTGGGCAAAGCGTCTTTTCAAGCCTTTCGAGCCATTTCTAACCCCAATAAAGTTTATTATTATTATTATTATTATTATTATTATTATAACCCTAAGCTGTACATGATGTGAAAGAAAACGTGATTCCTCAGACCAAGCCACCTTCTTACTGCTCCATGGTCCTGTGCTGATGCTCATGTGATTTTCTATGAGCTTTTGATGGAAGACACTGGCCAGCATAGCCAGTGTAGAGGCCACCATTTTTTTTGGTTTTCATCCCTGGTTGTCTAGTGGTAAGACCGGTGTTTAAGTTGTATAAACACAATCATACATATATAAACACATTCACGAGCGACGCCCTCGGGAAACACAAGCACATGAATAAGGCAGGTAATCAAACTAAACCCAACACCTGCCGTGAGATCACATTCACACTAACCGCACCTGCCCGACTCAACTGCACCCCAGCATGCCAACTACATTATGAACAGTCTTATCAACAAAGTGCAGCATGTCAGAAGTGGGATTTGAACCCACACCTCCAGAAGAGACTGAAACCTTAACACAGCGCCTTAGACCACTCGAGCATCCTGACTAAATGACCCAAAATCTATTTAAAGGAAATTCCAAACTATGCAGGGGCATTTATTTAAACAAGCTCTCAGGAACAGCCCAATACCCCCTCATCAGAGGTGCAGCAAAGGAACCAAATGTCAGAAGTGGGATTTGAACCCACGCCTCCAGGGGAGACTGCGACCTGAACGCAGCGCCTTAGACCGCTCGGCCATCCTGACACACGTAAGCTACAGTGTCGTGGACCATGCTCGGGTATAGCCAATACTTTCCAAATAAAGCACAATTAGATTACTTGAAATAGAAGCACTGATTTCATCAATAAGTGCTACGCTTTGGGGCAGTCTCATCTGTGTATTTGTCATTACTTACTTTGTGTGAGTCCTGCGATGTTTCTCGGCTGAAAGTCACCCTATTGTAGCATATTTACTGCAGTTTTAAAGTAAGTGCTAGCAAGTTGGGGCATAAGCGTGAGCTGTTAGTTTGAAGGGGAAATCAGTGTCAGGTGTTTTCAGTCTATGGCATAACAATCAGGTGTGAGTGAGTACCATGTCTGATTTGAGGAACAGGGATCAGTCAAAGTCTGACCTTCACAACACATGTTTGTTAAAGTGTATCATGCTAGGCAAAAAATTTTATTTGTGAGGATCTGGGCAAAGGCTTTCGGATGAGGTGGCCGAGAGGTTAAGGCGATGGACTGCTAATCCATTGTGCTCTGCACGCGTGGGTTCGACGTCCCTCATCGCAGACAGGTTGTTTTGCCTCCACTTTACAACAACCACTGGCTTGGGTGCAGTCTGTCTCACACATACAAGGCCTACAGGTGACAGGCTCTGGACAGATCCATGAGACAGAACAAGTGTGGGTGGAGAAACATGAAAAGCTAGAATTGCAATGGCAAACAATGTGCATCAAATCCTCCTTTATTCTCCACAGACTCCACAGACTGGCATGTAATTTCATAAGTGTGAGTTATGTCAGCAATAGGTTAAGTTGATGGACTGCCAATCTGCTGTGCACAGTCTGGATTTGAATCAAGAAGACTTTTAATGCAGGTTTAATGCAAGTTCTCATTCGTAGTTTGACAGACAATACTGTCCAAATAAAACACACCATTACATTACAGGAAATAGAAGCACTTATTTCATCAATAAGTGCTACTCTTTGGGGCAGTCTCAGCTGTGTATTTGACATTACTTACTTTGTGTGAGTCCTGCGATGTTTCTGGCGAAAGTCACCCTAATTGTAGCACATTTACTGCAGTTTTAAAGTAAGTGCTAACAAGCTGGGGCAACTTTCAGTGAATTTGGACACCACGAATGTGGAGTGTGAAACTATAATCACATTCATTGTTGTTGAGATTCTAACTAAAGTGTTTCTCTTTATAAATATCTATTAAAATTCTTGCACATATGCTTAGTGAAACATGTGTTGAAATCTCTTAGAGCAATACTTTTTAATACATCAGTGAGAGCATCATTTGGCTGTGTACCTACTCTCAACCTAGCGTGATAACTGCCTGTCAACGGTGTGAATGACCTGGTTCATTCACAAGGAGTGATCTGCCATCATCACTTCTATTGTCACATTGGCTTCTGTGGGTTGGACTGTGAATCATCTCAATTTATGATCAGACTCCAAGCATTGCAATGAACATCACTTGACTCAGGCCCCTCAGAATGAAAAAGTGGTCAACTGGTAAACTCTCAGTGGACAACTTCTAGGAAAGCAGGCATGCACTGATTACATTTGTCATGGTAAACATGGCAGGAGAAGATGCAAAGAAGTAGACCACCTATCTGTCTTATTGTCACCGTTGATATCCTATCAATGGCTCTGACCTTCCTGAATGGTAAGTACTATTTGTTGGGGTGATGTTGGGTGATTCAATCAACTAAAGATACTATATTTTTGTTTACAATGTATTAAACGTTAAACAGTTTGGACAACATCCAATACTTTCAAAAGAAATCACAATTCGATTACTTCAAATAGGAGCAACTTGATTTGCATTACATTCGTAAGTGCTTCTCGTTGGGGCAGTCTCATCTGTGTATTTGACTTTACTGTCTTCTGTGACTGCTGCAATGTATCTCTGGATGTTACCCCAATTGTATCACATATACTTCAGTTTTAATGTGATTTTCTGAAAGCTTTGATATCTTTCAGCAACAGCAATAATATGAAATATGAAAATTCAGGTTACTGCTGCAATGTATTCCGTATGTTCTAATTGTCCAAATACTCATGCAGGTATGTAACAACTGTGAACAGCAATTAATGCACATGAAGTTTCATTGAGGAAGATTGTCACCATTGCTATTCCCTGTACATAAATAAAGCACAATTAGATTACTTGAAATAGAAGCACTGATTTCGTCAATAACTGCTACTCTTTGGGGCAGTCTCATCTGTGTATTTGACATTACTTACTTTGTGTGAGTCCTGCAATGTTTCTCTGCTGAAAGTCACCCTAATTGTAGCACATTTACTGCAGTTTTGAAGTAAGTGCTAACAAGCTGGGGCAACTTTCAGTGAATTTGGACACCACGAATGTGGAGTGTGAAACTATAATCACATTCATTGTAGTCGAGATTCTAACTAAAGTGTTTCTCTTTACACATATTTATTCAAATTCTTGCACATATCTTTAGTGAAACATGTGTTGAAATCTCTTAGAGCAATATCTTTTAATACATCAGTGAGAGCATCATTTGGCTGTGTACCTACTCTCAATCTAGAGTGATAACTGCCTGTCAACGTGTGAATCACCTGGTTCATTCACATGGAGTGATCTGCCATCATCACTTCTATTGTCACATTGGCTTCTGTGGGTTGGACTGTGAATCATCTTAAGTTATGATCAGACTCCAAGCATTGAAATGAACATCATTTGACTCAGGCCCCTCAGAATGAAAAAGTGGTCACTGGTAAACTCTCAGTGGACAACTTCTAGGATAGCAGGCATGCAGTGATTATATTTGTTGTGGTAAACATGGCAGGAGAAGATGCAAAGAAGAAGACCACCTCTCTGTCTTATTGTCACAGTTGATATCCTATCAATGGCTCTGCCCTTCGTAAATGGAAGTACTATTTGTTGGGGTGATTTTGGGTGATTCAAGCAACTAAAGATACTATATATTTGTTTACAATGTATTAAACATTAAACAGTTTGGACAACATCCAATACTTTCAAAAGAAACCACAATTCGATTGCTTCAAATAGGAGCAACTTGCTTTACAATACATACATGAGTGCTTCCCGTTAGCGGTCTCATCTGTGTATTTGACTTTACTGTCTTCTGTGACTGCTGCAATGTATCTCTGGGTGTTACCCCGATTGTATCACATATATTTCAGTTTTAATGTGATTTTCTGAAAGCTTTGATATCTTTCGCAACAGCAATAATATGAAATATGAAAATTCAGGTTACTCAGAATGAAAAGCATTCCATTTGTTCAATTGGCAAATTCTCATGCAGGTATGTAACAACTGTGAACAGCAACTAATGCACATGAAGTTTCATTGAGGAAGATTGTCACCATTGCTATTCCCTGTACTGGCCTGCCTGAATGGCAAACCAAACTCCAGACGTAGTTGGCAGGATTTGAACCGCTGGAAAGGAGAGACCCCAATGGATTTCAAGCCCAACGCCTTAACCACTCGGCCACAACTACATAAAAGTCGTTCCAAGCACTTTGTTTCAGAAATGTATCAGCTTCACTTAGGGACCCTGCTCCGGTATTTCGGCAACACCACAACAAAGCAGCGGAGTTGGTTCCCTTGGCAACCGTCTACGCACAGTGCCATGAAATCAAGCCTGTGCTATCATTTGAAGCCTAGAATTGGCAGCAATGAACATTTATTAACCACAGTGTGGCAAAAAGAAGCTTCAAACTGTTTGTGAGCGATCTACAATATGCAGGGAACTTTCAGGTGATCTATTTAAATATCTTAGCATGCAAAGAGGGACTACATTATGATTGGTCTTAGTGACCCTCAACAAAGTGCATGTCAGAAGTGGGATTTGAACCCACCCCCCAGAGGAGACTCGACACTTAGCGCCTGGGCCAGACCGCTCGGCAATCCTGACTAACTGTCTGAAAGCTATGCAGATTTGCCAAAAAGCTATGCATTTTTCTTTTAACAAGCTCTCAGAAACAGACTCAACAGAGGTGCAGCAAAGGAACCAAATGGCAGAAGTGGGTTTTGATCCCAAGCCTCCAGGGGAGACTGCACGCATACCTGAACGTAGCGCCTTAGATCGTCGGCGACCATGCTCGGGTATAGCTAATACTTTCCAAATAAAGCACAATTAGATTACTTGAAATAGAAGCACTGATTTCGTCATTAACTGATACTCTTTGGGGGCAGTCTCATCTGTGTATTTGACTTTACTGTCTTCTGTGACTGCTGCAATGTATCTCTGGATGTTACCCCAATTGTATCACATATACTTCAGTTTTAATGTGATTTTCTGAAAGCCTTGATACCTTTCAGTGACAGCAATAATATGAAATTACTGTCTTCTGTGACTGCTGCAATGTATCTCTGGATGTTACCCCAATTGTATCACATATACTTCAGTTTTAATGTGATTTTCTGAAAGCCTTGATATCTTTCAGTGACAGCAATAATATGAAATGTTGAAACGGTGACATTTTTTCACTTCATACAGATTAAGTTGAACTGTTCCCAGTGAATTTGGTGAAATTTATTCTGCCAACTGTGTGTTTGTTTGTTTTTTTCTTCACATGAACTATCATCAGAGCTATTGTCCCTTTTCATTTTGATGCTGGGCAGATCCTGAACATTCATTGGAATGACACCGGACTCAGAATGAAAAGCATTGCATTTGTTCAATTGGCAAATTGTCAGTAGAATAGCAGGTATGTAACAACTGTGAACAGCAATTAATGCACAGTGAGGAAGATTGTCACTAATGCTAGCCAAGTACTGGCCTGTCTGAAAGGCAGGCCAAACTTCAGACGTAGTTGGCAGGATTCGAACCTGCGCGGGGAGACCCCAATGGATTTCTACTCCATCGCCTTAACCACTCGGCCACAACTACATATAACAGCCTTGCTTCATCGTCGACCAATGTCTGAACGTATTCCCATGCAATTTGTTTGAGAAATGTATAGGCTTCACTTAGGGACCCTGCTCAGGTATTTCGGCAACAAAGCAGTGGAGTTGGTTCTTTCTATGCACAGTGCCATCCTGACACACATAAGCTACAGCTTCGTGGACCATGCTCGGGTATAACAAATACTTTCCAAATAAAACACCATTACATTACTTTAAATAGAAGCACTGATTTCATCAATAAGTGCTACTCTTTGGGGCAGTCTCATCTGTGTATTTGACATTACTTACTTTGTGTGAGTCCTGCGATGTTTCTCGGCTGAAAGTCATCCTATTTGTAGCACATTTACTGCAGTTTTAAAGTAAGTGCTAGCAAGTTGGGGCATAAGCGTGAGCTGTTAGTTTGAAGGGGAAATCAGTGTCAGGTGTTTTCAGTCTATGGCATAACCAAGCCACCTTCTTACTGTTCAAGGGTGCAACGGTTAATACACATCATTTAATACTTGACGTAAAACACAGTTACAAAACATTTAACTCAAAGGAGCTACTCCACTCACCAGCGGTAGCAGTCAGGAATTCCAGGAAATATCCCGTTTTACCATTAAATACATTTCTAGTATGTTAAGAGAGATAATACACTTTAGTCGTTAGCTTACATTTAGTGTGAATGGTTGAGCGGCGGGCCTAACCATTGAATTGGACCGTCTTTACAAGCCTTAGCAGGAATGGAGCGTAAGACAGGGCTTAAGTGCAACTCCTTGGCCAAGCATCTTTTCAAGCCTTTTCAAGCCATTTCTAACCACAACCCTAAGCTGTACATGATGTGAAAGAAAACGTGATTCCTCAGACCAAGCCACCTTCTTACTGCTCCACTGTCCTGTGCTGATGCTCATGTGCAGTTTCTATGAGCTTTTGATGGAAGAAACTGGCCCGATTCCCGGTCAGGGAATGGTGTTTTATCCACCGCTGGCCAAATTAACATTTAAAAAGAAACCATATCACAAAGAGAAATCCGTCCTTCGAGTCAATTATGGGTTACTAATAGTATTTTATAATATAAAGTATTTTATAGTTATCTTTGATAAGTGAGCTAGCAAACGAGATCGATTTTCTATTCGAATTTTGCTCTTCACAAGCAAAGCGGCAAAGTGATTTAAGGAAACACTAGACTATTTTTTCTGGAGCCAATAAACGTGTTTGTAGATCTTTATATTCTCATGTTTCTGCCCTTCTTCAATACATTTACTTCAATTAAGTAACTAGACCATTTACAACTTTACATGTACACATTCGATTCAGTTCAAATCAATTTTATTTGTGTAGCGCTTTTTACAGTGGACATTGTCTCAAAGCAGGATTCGTTTGACTTCCTTTACGTCAATGCAATTTCCCAGGATGGAAGATGTGTTTGGCACGAGCTTCTTTGATGAATGCCAAGGTGCTTTGTTGCTCATCTTCATAAAGATTCTCTGCATTAAGACTCAGGTTCATAGCGGGTTTCAACTTGCACAGGTAAAGCCCCAGTGCAGTTCAAGTCCAGTGCCATATTCTGTTGGCCATCACGGGTATGGGGCACAGGACAAGGCTTAAGCGAGCGGGCCTAACCATTCTATTGGACCGTCTTTACAAGCCTTAGCAGGAATGGAGCATAAGACAGGGCTTAAGTGCAACTCCTTGGCTTTTCCCGCCTTTTCCAAGCCATTTCTAACCCCAACCCTAAGCTGTACATGATGTGAAAGAAAACGTGATTCCTCAGACCAAGCCACCTTCTTACTGCTCAAGGGTGCAACGGTTAATACACATCATTTAATACTTGACGTAAAACACAGTTACAAAACATTTAACTCAAAGGAGCTACGCCACTCACCAGCGGTAGCAGTCAGTAATTCCAGCAAATATCCTGTTTTACCATTTAATACATTTCTAGTATGTTAAGAGAGATAATACAGTTTAGTTGTTAGCTTACATTTAGTGTGAATGGTTGAGCAGCGGGCCTAACCATTCTATTGGACCGTCTTTAACAAGCCTTTCCAGGGATGGAGCGTAAGACAAGGCTTAAGTGCAACTCCTTGGCCGCGCGTTTTACGCCTTACCAGGAATGGAGCGTAAGACAAGGATTAAGTGCAACTCCTGGCCAAGCGTCTTTTCAAGCCTTACCAGGAATTGAGCGTAAGACAAGGATTAAGTGCAACTCTTTTGGGCAAAGGCGCCTTTTCGAGCCATTTCTTAACAACCCCCAATAAAGTTTATTATTATTATTATTATTATTTATTATTATTAACCCCTAAGCTGTACATGGTGTGAAAGAAAACATGATTCCTCAGACCAAGCCACCTTCTTACTGCTCCATGGTCCTGTGCTGATGCTCATGTGATTTTCTATGAGCTTTTGATGGAAGACACTGGCCAGCATAACCAGTGTAGAGGCCACCATTTTCTTGGTTTTCATCCCTGGTTGTCTAGTGGTAAGACCGGTTTTTTAAGTTGTATTTTAAAACACAATCATACATATATAAACACAATTACGCGACGCCCTCAAGGAAACACAAGCACATGAATAAGGCAGGTAACCAAACTAAACCCAACACCTGCCGTGAGATCACATTCACACTAACCACACCTGCCCGACTCAACTGCACCCCAGCATGTCAACTACATTATGAACAGTCTTATCAACAAAGTGCAGCATGTCAGAAGTGGGATTTGAACCCACACCTCCAGAAGAGACTGAAACCTTAACACAGCGCCTTAGACCACTCGACCATCCTGACTAAAAAGACCCACAAACTATGCAAAGGAAATTCCAAACTATGCAGGGGCATTTATTTAAACAAGCTCTCAGGAACAGCCCAATACCCCCTCATCAGAGGTGCAGCAAAGGAACCAAATGTCAGAAATGGGATTTGAACCCACGCCTCCAGGGGAGACTGCGACCTGAACGCAGCGCCTTAGACCGCTCGGCCATCCTGACACACTTAAGCTACAGTGTCGTGGACCATGCTCGGGTATAGCCAATACTTTCCAAATAAAGCACAATTAGATTACTTGAAATAGAAGCACTGATTTCATCAATAAGTGCTACTCTTGACAGGGTGCTCATCTGTGTATTTGTCATTACTTACTTTGTGTGAGTCCTACGATGTTTCTCGGCTGAAAGTCACCCTAATTGTGAGCACATTTACTGCAGTTTTAAAGTAAGTGCTAGTAAGTTAGGGCATAAGTGTTGAGCTGTTAGTTTGAAGGGGAAATTCAGTGTCAGGTGTTTTCAGTCTATGGCATAACAATCAGGTGTGAGTGAGTACCATGTCTGATTTGAGGAACAGGGATCAGTCAAAGTCTGACCTTCACAACACATGTTTGTTAAAGTGTATCATGCTAGGCAAAAATTTTATTTGTGAGGATCTGGGAAAAGGCTTTCGGATGAGGTGGCCGAGAGGTTAAGGCGATGGACTGCTAATCCATTGTGCTCTGCACGCTGGGTTGAGTCCCACCCTCATCGCAGAGCAGGTTGTTTTGCCTCCACTTTACAACAACCTCTGGCTTGGGTGCAGTCTGTCTCACACATACAAGGCCTACAGGTGACAGGCTCTGGACAGATCCATGAGACAGAACAAGTGTGGGTGGAGAAACATGAGAAGCTAACATTGCAATGGCAAACAATGTGCATCAAATCCTCCTTTATTCTCCACAGACTCCACAGACTGGCATGTAATTTCATAAGTGTGTAGTTATGTCAGCAATAGGTTAAGTTGATGGACTGCCAATCTGCTGTGCACAGTCTGGATTTGAATCAAGAAGACTTTTAATGCAGGTTTAATGCAAGTTCTCATTCGTAGTTTGACAGACAATACTGTCCAAATTAAACACCATTACATTACGGAAATAGAAGCACTGATTTCATCAATAAGTGCTACTCTTTGGGGCAGTCTCAGCTGTGTATTTGACATTACTTACTTTGTGTGAGTCCTGCGTGCGCCGGTTGAGTGTCACCCTAATTGTAGCACATTTACTGCAGTTTTAAAGTAAGTGCTAACAAGCTGGGGCAACTTTCAGTGAATTTGGACACCACAAATGTGGAGTGTGAAACTATAATCACATTCATTGTTGTTGAGATTCTAACTAAAGTGTTTCTCTTTATAAATATCTATTAAAATTCTTGCACATATGCTTAGTGAAACATGTGTTGAAATCTCTTAGAGCAATACTTTTAATACATCAGTGAGAGCATCATTTGGCTGTGTACCTACTCTCAACCTAGCGTGATAACTGCCTGTCAACGTGTGAATGACCTGGTTCATTCACCAAGGAGTGATCTGCCATCATCACTTCTATTGTCACATTGGCTTCTGTGGGTTGGACTGTGAATCATCTCAATTTACGATCAGACTCCAAGCATTGCAATGAACATCACTTGACTCAGGCCCCTCAGAATGAAAAAGTGGTCAACTGGTAAACTCTCAGTGGACAACTTAGGGAAAGCAGGCATGCACTGATTACATTTGTCATGGTAAACATGGCAGGAGAAGATGCAAAGAAGTAGACCACCTATCTGTCTTATTGTCACCGTTGATATCCTATCAATGGCTCTGACCTTCCTGAATGGTAAGTACTATTTGTTGGGGTGATGTTGGGTGATTCAATCAACTAAAGATACTATATTTTTGTTTACAATGTATTAAAGCGTTAAACAGTTTGGACAACATCCAATACTTTCAAAAGAAAACACAATTCATTTTCAAATAGGAGCAACTTGATTTGCATTACATTCGTAAGTGCTTCTCGTTGGGGCAGTCTCATCTGTGTATTTTACTTTACTGTCGCTTCTGTGACTGCTGCAATGTATCTCTGGATGTTACCCCAATTGTATCACATATACTTCAGTTTTAATGTGATTTTCTGAAAGCCTTGATACCTTTCAGTGACAGCAATATAAGAATATGAAATTACTGTCTTCTGTGACTGCTGCAATGTATCTCTGGATGTTACCCCAATTGTATCACATATACTTCAGTTTTAATGTGATTTTCTGAAAGCCTTGATACCTTTCAGTGACAGCAATAATATGAAATGTTGAAACGGGTGACATTTTTCACTTCATACAGATTAAGTTGAACCGTTCCCAGTGAATTTGGTGAAATTTATTCTGCCAACTGTGTGTTTGTTTGTTTTTTTCTTCACATGAACTATCATCAGAGCTATTGTCCCTTTTCATTTTGATGCTGGGCAGATCCTGAACATTCATTGGAATGACCCCGGACTCAGAATGAAAAGCATTGCATTTGTTCAATTGGCAAATTCTCAGTAGAATAGCAGGTATGTAACAACTGTGAACAGCAATTAATGCACAGTGAGGAAGATTGTCACTAATGCTAGCCAAGTACTGGCCTGTCTGAAAGGCAAACCAAACTTCAGACGTAGTTGGCAGGAGTCGAACCTCGTGCGGGGAGACCCCAATGGATTTCTAGTCCATCGCCTTAACCACTCGGCCACAACTACATAAAACAGCCTTGCTTCATCGTCGACCAATGTCTGAACGTATTCCCATGCAATTTGTTTGAGAAATGTATAGGCTTCACTTAGGGACCCTGCTCAGGTATTTCGGCAACAAAGCAGTGGAGTTGGTTCTTTCTAGTCGTTAGCTTACATTTAGTGTGAATGGTTGAGCGGGGGGGGCCTTAACCATTCTATTGGACCGGCTTTACAAGCCTTAGCAGGAATGGAAGCCCGAGAGAGGGCAGCATTAAGTGCAACTCCTTGGCCAAGCATCTTTTCAAGCCTTTTCAAGCCACTTCTAACCCCAACCCTAAGCTGTACATGATGTGAAAGAAAACGTGATTCCTCAGACCAAGCCACCTTCTTACTGCTCCACTGTCCTGTGCTGATGCTCATGTGCAGTTTCTATGAGCTTTTGATGGAAGAAACTGGCCAGCATAGCTATTTTGTTAAAGGCCACCATTTTTTTTTTGTTTTTTTCCTGGTTGTGTTAAAAATTTTTTTTTTTTATTTTTAGTGGTAAGATCTGGGCTTGGTTTGATTCCGGTCAGGAAATGGTGTTTTATCCACCGCTGGCCAAATTAACATTTAAAAGAAACCATATCACACAGAGAAATCCGTCCTTCGGAGCGGATTGGAACCAGTGACCGGAGGGATGATTCAGTTGCCTCCCGCTCTACGCCGCCGCCCCCAACTGAGCTAGCGGAGGTGAAGCAAAGCTCAATCCATGTATATCTATAAAACCATTCGGGTATATCGATATATAAGGTGCGAATTTATCCCAACTGAGCAAGCCACTAAGTGGTGACGGTGGCAAGGGAAAAACCCCTAAGATGTTAAGAGGAACAAACCTTGAGAGGAACCAGAATCAGAAGGGAACCTATCCTCATCTGGGTAACATCAGATAGTGTGAAAAGATGATTATGGATTCATATGGAGTCTCTTTCGCCTTTGCAGAAGCAGCTGTAGTCCCAGCAATCTTGGAATTGGAGTAGATGACCCGACCTCCATCCAGAGGTAGGCGATCCATCAAAAAATGGATCAGGTAGGTCCAGAGAGCCGAGGGATCAGGATCTCTAGTATCCCCATAAAATCGGGTGTGGCTCCCACAGAAGGGAGGGGGGGAGAGAAAAAAACTAGGACTGTGCTTAGCATAAGAGAAAGTCTAGTCAGGGTAGCCTTGATTAAACAAATACGATTAAAGCCTAGACACTGAGACTGTGCCTGAGTCCCGAACTCTAATTGGAAGACTGTTCCATAAGTGTGGGCGCCCGGGGCCGGCACAGAGAAAGCCCATCCTCCTGTTGTAGCCTTCGCTACCGGAGGTACGGAACAAATAGCCTGTATCTTTTGATCTAAGTAGGTGCGTGGATCATAAAAAGGAAAAGGTCGCTTTAGATACCTGCGGGAACCTCAGATCATTTAGTTAATTATGGGTTACAAATAATATTTTATAATATATTATTTAAGTATTTTTTTATAGTTATCTTTGATAAGTGAGCTAGCAAACCAGATCGATTTTCTATCAATTTTGCTCTTCACAAGCAAAGCGGCAAAAGTGATTTAAGGAAACACTAGACTATTTTTTCTGGAGCGAGCCAAAAACGTGTTTGTGCATCTTTATATTCTCATGTTTCTGCCCTTCTTCAATACATTTACTTCGAATTAAGTAACTAGACCATTTACAACTTTACATGTACACATTCGATTCAGTTCAAATCAATTTTATTTGTGTAGCGCTTTTTACAGTGGACATTGTCTCAAAGCAGGATTTGTTTGACTTCCTTTATCACAATGCAATTTCCCAGGATGGAAGATGTGTTTGTACCGAGCTTGTTTGATGAATGCCAAGGTGCTTTGTTGCTCATCTTCATAAAGATTCTCTATGCATTAAGACTCAGGTTCATAGCAGGCTTCAACTTGCACAGGTAAAGCCCCAGTGCAGTTCAAGTCCATGTCATATTCTGTTGGCCATCACGGGTATGGGGACAGGACAAGGCCGTTACGGGGCCGGGGATAACCATTCTATTGGACCGTCTTTACAAAGCCTTAGCAGGAATGGAGCATAAGACAGGGCTTAAGTGCAACTCCCGGCACAAGCGTCTTTTCAAGCCTTTTCAAGCCATTTCTAACCCCAACCCTAAGCTGTACATGATGTGAAAGAAAATGTGATTCCTCAGACCAAGCCACCTTCTTACTGCTCCAAGGGTGCAACGGTTAATACACATCATTTAATACTTGACGTAAAACACACAGTTACAAAACTATTTAACTCAAAGGGGAGTTACGCCACTCACCAGCGGTAGCAGTCAGTAATTTCAGCAAATATCCTGTTTTACCATTTTAATACATTTCTAGTATGTTAAGAGAGATAATACAGTTTAGTTGTTAGCTTACATTTAGTGTGAATGGTTGAGCAGCGGGCCTAACCATTCTATTGGACCGTCTTTACAAGCCTTTTCAGGGATGGAGCGTAAGACAAGGCTTAAGTGCAACTCCTTGGCCAAGCGTCTTTACAAGCCTTACCAGGAATGGAGCGCAAGACAAGGATTAAGTGCAACTCCTTGGCCAAGCGGTCTTTTCAAGCCTTACCAGGAATTGAGCGTAAGACAAGGATTAAGTGCAACTCCTGGGCAAAGCGTCTTTTCAAGCCTTTTCAAGCCATTTCTAACCCCAATAAAGTTTATTATTATTATTATTATTATTATTATTATTATAACCCTAAGCTGTACATGATGTGAAAGAAAACGTGATTCCTCAGACCAAGCCACCTTCTTACTGCTCCATGGTCCTGTGCTGATGCTCATGTGATTTTCTATGAGCTTTTGATGGAAACAGACAGCATAGCCGGTGTAGAGGCCACCATTTACATGGCTTTTCAGCCCGCATAACTAGTGTAGAGGCCACTATTTTCTTGGTTTCATCCCTGGTTGTCTAGTTTAAGACCGGTGTCAGTTGTATAAACACAATCATACATATATAAACACATACGCGTAACTCAGGAAACACAAGCACATGAATAAGGCAGGTAATCAAACTAAACCCAACACCTGCCGTGAGATCACATTCACACTAACCACACCTGCCCGACTCAACTGCACCCCAGCATGCCAACTACATTATGAACAGTCTTATCAACAAAGTGCAGCATGTCAGGGGAGGGGGGATTTGAACCCACACCTCCAGAAGAGACTGAAACCTTAACACAGCGCCTTAGACCACTCGAGCATCCTGACTAAATGACCCAAAATCTATGTAAAGGAAATTCCAAACTATGCAGGGGCATTTATTTAAACAAGCTCTCAGGAACAGCCCAATACCCCCTCATCAGAGGTGCAGCAAAGGAACCAAATGTCAGAAGTGGGATTTGAACCCACGCTTCCAGGGGAGAGGCCTGCGACGCTGAACGTCGCTTAGACCGCTCGGCCATCCTGACACACATAAGCTACAGTGTCGTGGACCATGCTCGGGTATAGCCAATACTTTCCAAATAAAGCACAATTAGATTACTTGAAATAGAAGCACTGATTTCATCAATAAGTGCTACTCTTTGGGGCAGTCTCATCTGTGTATTTGTCATTACTTACTTTGTGTGAGTCCTGCGATGTTTCTCGGCTTGAAAGTCACCCTAATTGTAGCACATTTACTGCAGTTTTAAAGTAAAAGAGTGCTAGCAAGTTGGGGCATAAGCGTGAGCTGTTAGTTTGAAGGGGAAATCAGTGTCAGGTGTTTTCAGTCTATGGCATAACAATCAGGTGTGAGTGAGTACCATGTCTGATTTGAGGAACAGGGATCAGTCAAAGTCTGACCTTCACAAACACGTTTGTTAAAGTGTATCATGCTAGGCAAAAATTTTATTTGTGAGGATCTGGGAAAAGGCTTTCGGATGAGGTGGCCGAGAGGTTACAGGCGATGGGCTGCTAATCCATTGTGCTCTGCACGCGTGGGTTCGAGTCCCACCCTCATCGCAGACAGGTTGTTTTGCCTCCACTTTACAACAACCTCTGGCTTGGGTGCAGTCTGTCTCACACATACAAGGCCTACAGGTGACAGGCTCTGGACAGATCCATGAGACAGGACAAGTGTGGGTGGAGAAACATGAAAAGCTAGAATTGCAATGGCAAACAATGTGCATCACATCCTCCTTTATTCTCCACAGACTCCACAGACTGGCATGTAATTTCATGTGTGAGTTATGTCAGCAATAGGTTAAGTTGATGGACTGCCAATCTGCTGTGCACAGTCTGGATTTGAATCAAGAAGACTTTTAATGCAGGTTTAATGCAAGTTCTCATTCGTAGTTTGACAGACAATACTGTCCAAATAAAACACCATTACATTACAGGAAATAGAAGCACTGATTTCATCAATAAGTGCTACTCTTTGGGGGCAGTCTCAGCTGTGTATTTGACATTACTTACTTTGTGTGAGTCCTGCGATGTGCTCGGCTGAAAGTCACCCTAATTGTAGCACATTTACTGCAGTTTTAAAGTAAGTGCTAACAAGCTGGGGCAACTTTCAGTGAATTTGGACACCACAAATGTGGAGTGTGAAACTATAATCACATTCATTGTTGTTGAGATTCTAAGTAAAGTGTTTCTCTTTATAAATATCTATTAAAATTCTTGCACATATGCTTAGTGAAACATGTGTTGAAATCTCTTAGAGCAATACTTTTTAATACATCAGTGAGAGCATGCATCTTATTTGGCTGTGTACCTACTCTCAACCTAGCGTGATAACTGCCTGTCAACGTGTGAATGACCTGGTTCATTCACAAGGAGTGATCTGCCATCATCACTTCTATTGTCACATTGGCTTCTGTGGGTTGGACTGTGAATCATCTCAATTTACGATCAGACTCCAAGCATTGCAATGAACATCACTTGACTCAGGCCCCTCAGAATGGCCAAAAGTGGTCAACTGGTAAACGTGCGATCAACTTCTAGGAAAGCAGGCATGCACTGATTACATTTGTCATGGTAAACATGGCAGGAGAAGATGCAAAGAAGTAGACCACCTATCTGTCTTATTGTCACCGTTGATATCCTATCAATGGCTCTGACCTTCCTGAATGGTAAGTACTATTTGTTGGGGTGATGTTGGGTGATTCAATCAACTAAAGATACTATATTTTTGTTTACAATGTATTAAACGTTAAACAGTTTGGACAACATCCAATACTTTCAAAAGAAATCACAATTGACATTACTTCAAATAGGAGCAACTTGATTTGCATTACATTCGTAAGTGCTTCTCGTTAGGGCAGTCTCATCTGTGTATTTGACTTTACTGTCTTCTGTGACTGCTGCAATGTATCTCTGGATGTTACCCCAATTGTATCACATATACTTCAGTTTTAATGTGATTTTCTGAAAGCCTTGATACCTTTCAGTGACAGCAATAATATGAAATTACTGTCTTCTGTGACTGCTGCAATGTATCTCTGGATGTTACCCCAATTGTATCACATATACTTCAGTTTTAATGTGATTTTCTGAAAGCCTTGATATCTTTCAGTGACAGCAATAATATGAAATGTTGAAACGGTGACATTGTTTCACTTCATACAGATTAAGTTGAACTGTTCCCAGTGAATTTGGTGAAATTTATTCTGCCAACTGTGTGTTTGTTTGTTTTTTTCTTGACGCTTGGCCAAGGAGTTGCACTTAATCCTTGTCTTACGCTCCATTCCTGGTAAGGCTTGTAAAGACGCTTGGCCAAGGAGTTGCACTTAAGCCCTGTCTTACGCTCCATTCCTGCTAAGGCTTGTAAAGACGGTCCAATAGAATGGTTAGGCCCGCCGCTCAACCATTCACACTAAATGTAAGCTAACGACTAAAGTGTAATATCTCTCTTAACATACTAGAAATGTATTTAATGGTAAAACGGGATATTTCCTGGAATTCCTGACTGCTACCGCTGGTGAGTGGAGTAGCTCCTTTGAGTTAAATGTTTTGTAACTGTGTTTTACGTCAAGTATTAAATGATGTGTATTAACCGTTGCACCCTTGAACAGTAAGAAGGTGGCTTGGTTATGCCACAGACTGAAAACACCGGACACTGATTTCCCCTTCAAACTAACAGCTCACGCTTATGCCCCAACTTGCTAGCACTTACTTTAAAACTGCAGTAAATGTGCTACAATTAGGGTGACTTTCAGCCGAAAACATTGCAGGACTCACACAAAGTAAGTAATGTCAAATACACAGATGAGACTGCCCCCAAAGAGTAGCACTTATTGATGAAATCAGTGCTTCTATTTCAAGTAATGTAATGGTCTTTTATTTGGAAAGTATTGGTTATACCCGAGCATGGTCCACGACGCTGTAGCTTATGTGTGTCAGGATGGCACTGTGCATAGAAAGAACCAACTCCACTGCTTTGTTGCCGAAATACCTGAGCAGGGTCCCTAAGTGAAGCCTATACATTTCTCAAACAAATTGCATGGGAATACGTTCAGACATTGGTCAACGATGAAGCAAGGCTGTTTTATATGTAGTTGTGGCCGAGTGGTTAAGGCGATGGACTAGAAATCCATTGGGGTCCCCGCGCAGGTTCGACTCCTGCCAACTACGTCTGAAGTTTGGTTTGCCTTTCAGACAGGCCAGTACTTGGCTAGCATTAGTGACAATCTTCCTCACTGTGCATTAATTGCTGTTCACAGTTGTTACATACCTGCTATTCTACTGAGAATTTGCCAATTGAACAAATGCAATGCTTTTCATTCTGAGTCCGGTGTCATTCCAATGAATGTTCAGGATCTGCCCAGCATCAAAATGAAAAGGGACAATAGCTCTGATGATAGTTCACGTGAAGAAAAAAACAAACAAACACACAGTTGGCAGAATAAATTTCACCAAATTCACTGGGAACAGTTCAACTTAATCTGTATGAAGTGAAAAAATGTCACCGTTTCAACATTTCATATTATTGCTGTCACTGAAAGGTATCAAGGCTTTCAGAAAATCACATTAAAACTGAAGTATATGTGATACAATTGGGGTAACATCCAGAGATACATTGCAGCAGTCACAGAAGACAGTAATTTCATATTATTGCTGTCACTGAAAGGTATCAAGGCTTTCAGAAAATCACATTAAAACTGAAGTATATGGGATACAATTGGGGTAACATCCAGAGATACATTGCAGCAGTCACAGAAGACAGTAAAGTCAAATACACAGATGAGACTGCCTCAACGAGAAGCACTTACGAATGTAATGCAAATCAAGTTGCTCCTATTTGAAGTAATCGAATTGTGATTTCTTTTTGAAAGTATTGGATGTTGTCCAAACTGTTTAACGTTTAATACATTGTAAACAAAAATATAGTATCTTTAGTTGATTGAATCACCCAACATCACTCCAACAAATAGTACTTACCATTCAGGAAGGTCAGAGCCATTGATAGGATATCAACGGTGACAATAAGACAGATAGGTGGTCTACTTCTTTGCATCTTCTCCTGCCATGTTTACCATGACAAATGTAATCAGTGCATGCCTGCTTTCCTAGAAGTTGTCCACTGAGAGTTTACCAGTTGACCACTTTTTCATTCTGAGGGGCCTGAGTCAAGTGATGTTCATTGCAATGCTTGGAGTCTGATCATAAATTGAGATGATTTACAGTCCAACCCACAGAAGCCAATGTGACAATAGAAGTGATGATGGCAGATCACTCCTTGTGAATGAACCAGGTCAATGAGCGGTCTAAGGTGCTGCGTTCAGGTCACAGTCTCCCCTGGAGGCGAGGGTTCAAATCCCACTTCTGACATTTGGTTCCTTTGCTGCACCTCTGATGAGGGGGTATTGGGCTGTTCCTGAGAGCTTGTTTAAATAAATGCCCCTGCATAGTTTGGAATTTCCTTTGCATAGATTTTGAGTCATTTAGTCAGGGTGGTCGAGTGGTCTAAGGCGCTGTGTTAAGGTTTCAGTCTCTTCTGGAGGTGTGGGTTCAAATCCCACTTCTGACATGATGCAGGCGTCGCTCGTGATTGTGTTTATATATGTATGATTGTGTTTATACAACTTAAACACCGGTCTTACCACTAGACAACCAGGGACGAAAACCAAGAAAATGGTGGCCTCTACACTGGCTATGCTGGCCAGTGTCTTCCATCAAAAGCTCATAGAAAATCACATGAGCATCAGCACAAGACCATGGAGCAGTAAGAAGGTGGTTAGGCCCGCCGCTCAACCATTCACACTAAATGTAAGCTAACGACTAAACTGTATTATCTCTCTTAACATACTAGAAATGTATTTAATGGTAAAACGGGATATTTCCTGGAATTCCTGACTGCTACCGCTGGTGAGTGGAGTAGCTCCTTTGAGTTAAATGTTTTGTAACTGTGTTTTACGTCAAGTATTAAATTATGTGTATTAACCGTTGCACCCTTGAGCAGTAAGAAGGTGGCTTGGTCTGAGGAATCACA